GTCAGGGTAATGGCAGCTGCAGGCGATCAGACAGCTAGAGGAAGGAAACTAGCCGTGAGTATTCTTTTTTTTTGGGGGGGGGGATGTGGGGGTGTCACCTATTACAGTTGTGCAGCTCTCTGTTACATTTGGGCTCAAATGCAGTGGAAGAATGTCTGAATGGTGACAGCTGTTATTTTAGTTTAAACTATGCTTCGGAACATGAACGTTTCGGATAACTTCCTCTGTAACATACATTATATTGTCAAAGGTTATTGCTTATTTGCCTTCACGCACAGGCATGAGTTACCTCACATTCCTAATCCGCAGAGTTTAATATGATGTCAGACAGCCCTTAGCAGCTGTGGCAGCTTTTACTCTTTTGTGAACCCTTTCCAGAAGCCACGATGGTGTTGGGCAAGAAGATTTTGCTCACAGCTCACAGTCCAAGTCATCTCAAAGGTGTTTTGTCAGCTTGGAAAGGAGGAAAGTCAAGTTCCTCCACACCAAGCTTGTTCATTCATGTCTTTATGGACCTTGTGTTGTGTTCAGACACAAATCACGACAGAAAGAGGACGTCCTCAAAATGTTGGAAAAAAAATGTTATTCTCCTGATTAACCTGTCATTCACGAGAGGACCCAAATTTGGGTCCTCTCGTGACAGGGGTGTCAAACTCCAGTCCTCAAGGGCCTCTGTCCTGCAGCTTTTAGATGTGCCTCTGCTGCACCACACCTGAAAAGAATAATTAGGTCATTAGCAAGGCTCAGGAGAACCGATCTACACAGGGAGGAGGTAATTAAGCCATTTCATTCCACTGTTTTTTACCTGTGGCACATCTAAACACTGCAGGACAGCGGGCCTTGAGGACTGGAGTTTGACACCCCTGTCATTGTGAATGACAACCTGTGAATGACAGGTTAACTGGCAAACCCAGGAAGAGAAGCATGGAGATTATTCATCACTCCAGAAACTAGTCTAGAGTCCAGTGACGACATGTCTTATACCCATGTGTGGCTCAGATGCAGTTGCCCCGCCATAAAATCCCATTCCATAAAGCTCTCGTCTCGGCGATGTTCCTGAGCCAACATGAATGTCACGAAGGTCTGTACCTACTGAATCTGCAGAAAGTTGGTGATTATCCAAGCTCAGGATCCTGCAGCCCCATGCTACGGCTCTACAAACCTACCACTTTCTAGCCAAGTTGCTGTCATTCACATTTCCTCCAAAGGTGTTGTTAGGAAATCCCATGACTGGAGGTATTTTACAATTGATACCACATTGGAATTCATTGAGCTCCTAACAACAACCTTTTGCATGCCTACATCTGCTATTTTATACACCTGTGTCCAAGACAGTGGTTGGAACACCTTGATACAATGATCTGGATAGGTTAGAGAATACTCGTGACAATATAAGTGTATAATGCCCTGTTTGCAAAGTTCCCATAAACGAAACCATGTCTATAAATCCGGAGAGCAGTACATAAAAAGAAGAATACGCTGTAACACTGCTTTTCCTCTCCTGCTGAGAGACATATGTGGCGGTAGGAAAGGGAAGAAGAAAAATAAAGACCATTTGAAGAGATTGCAGGGAACATTTCTCAAGCACAAAGTTTAAAATTTCGCCCATCAATTTCACTCTGCGTGGCTCCGTTGTATATGACCTTGGGTGAATGATCCCTTCAGTCAGTCGGAGACATTCGGCTGAACCGAGGGGGGATTTCAGTCGGTGCGAAAGGGAGCAATAAAATTTTTATTCATCTCACTATGGAGCTAATGATTCATGGATCTTCCTGTTAAAAGAAAGAGAAGGAGGATGAGGGGGCGGTGGGGAGGGAATCTTTGGTGTAGGACCAAAGCTCAATGAGGTTTGAAAACTGTTGTCACACGTCACTGAGCAGATGTCTGATGTCGAGTAACTCAATTCAGAAGATTTCTTATTGTGATATTCTTGGCACAGGCCGAACAAAAAAGACGAAGAAAAAAAATAAATGGGGGTATTAGAAAATAAGGACAGAAACGTATTTTGAGCTTCAGTGAGATGAGCAGCTTGGTCAGTGGGGAAGATTGATGTTTTTTGTTGTCATTGTTGTTGCTTCAAGGATATTTAATGAGAACTACAAGCCATATAGTGCAAGCTAGACCAACGATGATATGAAATTTATATATATATATATATATATATATATATATATTAAAAAAATAATTTTCAAAACTTTCCAATAATACATTTTACCATCCTGTAAAATGAAACACTTTTTCAAATGTCTACTTAAAATATCAATATCATAATAGGGATGTGCTAGTTATAGAAATGGGTTGAAAACCATTTCAGCTGTTGAAACGGTTGAAAATACATCTGGTGTGAAAGAACTACGTCGTAAACCGTTTCAGCTGTTTTGTCTTACCCTCCTGGTTTAAAGCCCTTTCAAGGCGCTGCCACAGAAAGTTCTCTACAGACCAGAGTTTTATGTGTTTCATGTGCACAGAGTAATAATGTCTGTCTACTCGTGTTAGAAAACAGGGACAATCAAGGGTGCGGAAACAAAAAGAGGGCCACCCATCACTTTTTAAATGATGGGTTTTTAACTCATCACTTAACTATCTTGCCCACTCTTAGTTAGGGCTGCAGCTACTCAATGTTTTATCGAATAATGCATCAATTGAGCACCTGAATTTTCACCAAATGACCCAAAGCGTTCATTTCTCCTTGAACATCAGGTACTCAGAGCTTGAGATATGAAAGTCTACCCAGTTGGAATTTCTTTATAAGAACTCATCTCTCTCTCTTGAATATGGAGCTTAACTCAAGATGGTTACAGGATATTTCATTTGATCACTTGATGTTTATAAGTTTCTGTGTATAATCCAGTTGGTCCTTGATTAGTCAGGAAAATGCATCAACCTCTTGCTCCAGAGATACGATGCTAATTCAGTACAGGGTACCAACTGCTTCTGTTTTATTTGTTGTGATCCCAGACCTTTGACATTTGTGATCTTTTTCAAAAACGCAGCTCCCTGTCTCTCCTCCTGCACATGTAATGTAAACAGAAGGACGTTGCACAACTGCAATTACTGTTCCTATAAAACATGAGTGTGTAAAACGGTTGCAGTAACTGCAGAGGACATAAATGAAGCATTGGGGAGATTTTTGCCTCAGGCATTTTCTTTTTTTATTTTTCAAATCGAGTCATTCAAGTAACAATTTCACTGTTGCTTGCATGGACTTGAATACCAAAAAGGTATAATATTCTGCTCAATAAGTACCTTTAACTTGAAAACTGCCACAAGTCATGTGTTTATTCTATACAGTCGCTTTGTTTACATATACATGAAAATATCTTATTGTACCAAATACTAAGGAACTGTGGTATTTTTTCCTCCCATATCTTTCATGATACCAATTTTTTGGTCAATTATTTAACTAACTCCCCTGTCAGATTTACTTTTTCTCTTGGAGTGTAACTCTGTCTCTGAAAAGTCTTGCTTGTTTAAAAAGCTTTTGAGTCCAAAAGATGGAAGAAACAGGTTGCATACTCTTTTCTATACGACTCTGAATTTTAGTGTACTTGTGTTTTTTTGGTTGTTTTTTTTATCTGCATTTCCCATTTCACTTCCTTACCAATTAAATTGTCTGCACAAAACCAGGAGGAAAAAGAAAATGGTGTGAATTTCTTCATGAATACATAAGTCAGTTGCTGACTCTTACGCCCGATTCTGCCGATAAGAATCGACCTGATCCCGGCTAAGGAATTGTCTAAATCTGCTTACTGGGAATGTATAGCACCACCAGCGTTAAAAACCATTTTAAACCTTGAAAAAACATTTTTAATTAAATTAATTTGCCATATCTGAATTTGTTTAAATGTGTTGTTTCATTACATGCAGCAGTTTTGTCGATGTTTATTCATGGAGGAATAGTAGAAATGTTTTCAATTATCTAAAAGCAACAACAAATGAGGGTGTATGTGTCCCTGTTGATTGTTTCTTTGGTGCAGATTTTTTTCTTCTTTCTTTTTTCTTTGCAAATTCAAGGATGTTTAAAGACTTCAACAAAGTGACTCATTTGTGATTTCCCTGTATCTGACGGTTACAGTCACCCATTCCCTGCAGCAGAAAAAAACATTCCTACAGCATGGTGCTGCCACCACCATGTTTTGCTGTAGGGATGGGGTTAGGCAGGTAACTAAGAGTGCCTTTTCTACCAAATATGGTACTTTGAGCTTCATTCAATCAGAGAATTTTGTTTCTCCAGGTTAATCTCGTTTCTAAATCATTCAAACGTACTGTGACGTGTCTTGTAGCGAGGAGTGGCTTCTCTCTGGGTACTCTACCTCACAGGCACCAAGTTTGTTAGAGCAGCGAGAGTTCTGGTGGTTCCACATTTCAGAATAATGGGCACCGCAGCACTTCTTGGGATGTCCAGTGCTGCTGAAGGTTTTCTTTCTATCCCCCGCGCTCGACAGTCTGGTCTCTGAGTTCCAGAGATAACTGATCTGGCTTCATTGTTTTGGTTCTGCTCTGTTGCTCACTGGCAACTGTGAAACCTTATGTAGAACCAGTCTGTTCCAGTACAAATGATGGCCAATTAGCCGTATTTACAAAATGTAGACTCCAGTCAAGTTGTAGGAGGACTTCAATGAGGATCAGTGGACTCAAATGTGCCTGAGCTGAAAAAGTGTGCATACTTTTATTTTCCTCATTGTTGGACACATGACCATGGTGTGAAAGGGCATGAGTGCTTTCAATGCAAATCGCCAAACCTTACATGAATTTAATATTTCTTTGGAAGTAGTAAGAAGATCCAAAAGTTTCTTCCCTGTAATACCGCTTCAGAGTGTCTGTTTTAAGTTTTACGAACAAGTTGTACGTGTTTTGTGTCATTTTTCTGTGTTTGAGGACATTTGAAAACAGAACATCCACAACTTTCTCCGACTCAGCGGGATGACTCCTTTGGGCCCAACCTCCTCCCACCCCCCACCAATCCCCATCCCACGAGTCAAAACGTATGGTCCACTTACTTTGAGCGTCGGCGAGGTGGAGGAGCAGACCCTGGATCAGCAGCAGCAGCGGCGGCAGCAGCAGCAGCGTGGGTCTGGCTCTGTGCATGGTGGGACAGCTTGGCACCAGCATGCTTTGGCAGCCTCAGTGGCACTGGCTCACAGAGCCCTGTGAGTCAGTCTGGTCTGATTTTTCAGATGCAGGGTATTCACAGCCTGCGCAAGGCGAGGGAAGGGGAGGACGGAGGACGAAGACGGAGAAGGGAGGGAAGAGAAGAGGGAGAGAGAAAAAGAGAGAGAGAGAATGAATGAAACAAAGCTGTTTGGCTCCACGGGTTTTATCTATCCCTGCACATTTCTGACATACCCCCACACAGCCTCGGCTGGAGCTGACAGAGGATAGGAACAGCCTGATGTGCTCACAGGGTATATTCTGACAGTTCTCTAAATGGAATAGTCACTTCACACGGATGCATATGTGCATGAGAGAGCGAGATAGCGAGAGCAAGCGAAGGGAAAAATCCCACAGATAAAAGGGCGAGTCGACTTGATTTTTGTCTTCACGGCTTAGGTCACGAGCGCCAATCAAACAAGCTGCATAATTAAAGAGCATTTAGATCACAGAGGGAACTCGGCTGCTAATAAATAACAGCCCGAGAAATCATCTCCAATCTAAATATTTAGCAGAGATTACAGAAACGACACATTAATGCTTTTTTAATTATATTAAGTTGCTCTGCAGCAAATCGTAGCTTCTTTCACATCATATTTCCCCTTAAATAACACGCTTTATTAGGTCTAATTCCCACACACACACACACACACACACACAACCGTACGCAGAGATTTTCCCCTTTCATCCGCAGCAGCACAAACACCAAATAAAATCTTTAAGACAGAGTGGCCGGGCCGTTTTCCTTTCATGTTGCAGCCTGTTATCGACGGGGCGCTGCGCGGCAGGGAAAATCAATGCGATACAGTGAACTGGTATTAGCTGCCGCCTGCCTCCTATCCCTTGTCATCCATTTGCTTAAGCCTGAGCTTGATCCTCAGTGATGGATGCTTTGCGGTAGGCTTCAGCTCATAGCACGGCTCCCGGCTAATCTGAGCGTCACACTGTAGTCGCGGGGGTGGCTGAGAGGGGGTTAGTAACTGCGGAGCCCGCCTGCGTTGTTGTTCTTATAAGAAGGTGTCGTTTCAGCTGTTACTGCCAGGAGGCCTTCGTCAGATCTCCTGAAAAGTTTTGCGATGGCACTGAGTTGGCCGGCCGCGTATCGGCAGATCTGACCACCGTAGAAGAGGAAGATATAAACAGCCTGAGCCAAATCCCCAACGCGCGATGATGACAAAGTGCCTAATTTCCCTGTTACCAATCATCCTCTCTCCCACTTCAGGCTTTCCCCTCCTTCACTCCTGTGGGCTGTAAATGGCGGAATGACTGGGAGATAGCGCACCTGTCACAGTCGATTTGTGTTTGTGTTTGGAGGAGCAGGAGGTGGGGGCGCTGGGTGGAGGACAGATACGGCTACCTGCGTGAGAACTGGAAGGTGAACAGTGAGAATCTGTGTGTGTGCGCGTATGCGTGTGGTGAGGGGCCAACAATGAAGGGAATCTATAAAATGTAATCTCTGCTTTCACTCACGCTGCGAACAGCACACAATCGCTAATATTTACGCATACCTATGGCGCCTTCCAAAAAGTTTTCACATCCCTTGAGGGTTTTCAAGGTTTTCCACATTAAGAACACAAACTTTGCCAATTTCACACAAGATAAATATCGCATCGTTGTGCGGTCATTTATCTTATTTTGATTGGATTTGGCCCTTCTAAGAGCTGAAAGGGCTTTGAGCTAAACCACAACTGTCAAACCGGTGTTTTGAAACGGTGAGTTGAAACACACTTGTATCAAATAATTACGTAATCGGTAGGACCCTGCAGAACTTAACTGGCTGCTGAGGAGGCAGTTTAACCATTTGATTCAGGTGTTGGACAAGAGACGCATCTAAATGTCGCACGACACCTTGAGTTGGATCTAAATCATTCTGTTGCAGCTACGATATGTCAGATCAATGCCCTGCTTGAATATTAAACTCCACCACAGTCTTAAGTCACTTGCAGTTTCTTAGCATGTCTTCTTCCAGGAGTGTCTTTTCCTGCAGCGGCATGTGGCACAGGCGCCAAACTCCAGTCCTCGTGTTCTCTGCGATGTCCTGCAACTGGTAGGCCGACTCCAAGACGTTGTGGAACTTGGCTGCATGAGAAGATGTGTTGGACTTGGGTCACATCCAAAAGTTGCAGGACACCGGCACTAAAGGACTGGACCTTGATACCCCTGGCATAGAGGAAGAGCGGGTGGCCCGTGTATAGCAGGAAGGAATCCTGTCCTTTTGACTTTTTTTTTTTTCTGCAGGTCTTCCTTCCTTTTCTGTCTGATTATCATCAACAGCTTTCCCATTGCTGATGAGATGCAACCCCACAGCAGTTTGGATGGAGTGTTCAATGAGTTCAGGGCCCTACTAAATCGCAGATACGTCAAACTGTCTGTGTGTTTTTTTTTCCAAGTAAAACCTATAAAACAATAAAACTTTGTGTTACAATGTGACAAAAAAAAAGAGCTGTGGATACACACGCAAAGCATTTTATGTAAACGCACTTCTGAGAGACACTGGGATGACTTTCCACAGCTGTGTGAACTGGATTCAAATCAACAGTAATGAAACCCCCTCCTGAGCAGTCAGAGCGGACAACGCTGCAGTCCGATCCATCTACGCTGCAGCTGTCCCTCTCCTTGGGTTATCGTCTCACTGCCCTGCTCCTCCAAAGCTAAGTGATTGCCTTTGATTTAATTGATGAAGTGTGAATCTACAGAACAACATGACATTGGGTTAGAATTTGCAGCACTCGGCACACACTCCCGATGCCACACACACACACACACACACGCAAACTCGCTGATGGGAAGCTAACTCAACCATCTGCGTGTTGTGTAACAAGCAGGGAGACAAACTAAAAGGCTGTGCCATGCGAGAAAATATGAGGAGAAGCTCAACCCACAGACGCCATCACACAAAAATCAGAGCTGCGAGGACTGGTGCTGGTTTGCCGTTAATGCTTTCGGGCACTTTCCTTCATAATGTGCTAAGGTGTGATAAGACACCAGCCAGAAAGCCAGCAGCTTGTCAAATGAATGTCGCCTAAATACGGAATCATGCTTGTGGCGTAATTTTCACCTTTTTAAATAAAGACACATGGGTGAGCATGTCCAAGTGAGACTTTTCCCTCCAGTTATTCCACGTTGAACATTCCTCCGCCGAGGTATCTTCAATCAAGAACCGGGACTGTCGCTAACTAGTTCAATGACAGCTATGAAACGGCTCATTCTGAATTACTCACACCGTTTCAATCGGTAGGTACAAAGGTCTTCTTAGACTAAGGGATGTGTACAGCCTTCAGGAAGGCCTGTGACATGTGCCCAGGAAACCTCCAAACAGAGGAGAATACTGATCAGATACCTGAACTACCTTAGCTGGATGATTTTTGAAGCAAAGGAGAATGAAGGTCAACACACACACATCTCCAAGTGCATGCTGTATCTAGTGAACGCCAACACTTCCAGTGAATGAGGAGAGCAGCTCAAGCTCGAGCAATAAGTTCTGCTTTTTCAAACTTCAGCATATTTGTGTTCAGGCTTGCCTGCGTCATGAGCGCATCAGACCGCCTCTGGAACTCCATTTCTGACGTTACAGGCGATTTCACAACCAAATTGGTGGCGTTGGTGGCGCCCACGGCAAAACCCAACAGTTATATTATGAAAAGTCCTGGTTTATTTATGTATTCATATGTCAAGCAAGGTAAAAATGAAAATAAAGTATTAAAATATGGTAGCAGACCTAACTTTACTGAGAATGGACAGTGGCAGTTGATCATGCAATCGTGACATTAGTTTTCTGATGCACAGTCTTTCTAGTTCTTTCCAGTTCATTGGTCATATAAAATCCAAATAAGATATGCTTAAGATTTAGTGAGTAACATTAAAGATAAGGATATGGAGTGGCAATAGTAGGATTTTAATTAGTCGTTGGTTTCCATGAGCGACCTTATGAAAGGACCATGACGGCATCCTCCTTTCATTGTCGGAGTCGGTGCTTTGACTCAGGAAGCAGAAAGAATCGACTCTGGTTCGGAATTAGAAACGTTTTTTTTTTTCATGGTACAAGTCCTACTGAGGTTGCTTCAGTTTTTTCCACACACTTAACTATTGGATGCAATACGTTCACATTCATATACTTGGTGACTCTGACGCTTTCCATTGAAGATCTATTACATTAGAAAAAAGGAAAATAAATAAAATAAACAATCTCGTCTTTCTTCCGGAGCCCCTGGTGGTATTGTTGTGTTCCCATTCACTAGTGCCACATTCAAAGGATTTCGGTGCTGATAGCAATCATGCATTATTAAACAAAGCCTGACAACATGCACCATGTTAATTAGAAAAAGAGGAGGTGGGGTGGGGGGAGAAAAAGAAAGAAGCTGTTGAACTGTCTCTACTCTCTCCTTCCCGGTGATTCTTATCAGAAACGTGAAAAAGAATGAGGGTGGCGTGTTTATATTCCACATGAAGGCTGGCCGCCGCTCTAATTTCAGCGTGCCGGTTTGGTATTTTTTTTAGACGAGCAATATTACAGAGAGAGCAAGAAAAAAGAACAAAAGAATCAGTTATATTTATCTCATATTGCAGCCATACAGCAATAAACTTATTATGGGGATAAATGCGGGGTGAATAGGGTCTCGAAGCCGGGAGTTTATAACGTCAGCTTCGCAGCTAATGTGCATTTCTATGTTTGCTCACATGCGGTAGTAGTAGAGAGGACCTGAAACAAAGCCAAGCAATCGAAACGCTCCAGCAGTGATGTCACGCGTTACATTTTCAGCGGTACAACTTTATACTGCTCCTTTGTCCGAGCTGAGAAACTCTACGCAGTGTAGCTAAAGGCGATTCATAAATGAGGTGGGGTGTTTTTTTTTTTTTTTTTTTCTGTTTCAGACTCGTACGCGCAGACCAAATCGATCTTAAAGGAAACAGAGTTGCGTATGTTGTCCTAACGCACAACCTCAACAGCAGCAAAAACGCCACCGAATCTATTAAGGCCAAATCCTCTGTAATTAGCCCAAGCAGAACCAAGGAGAAAAAAAAAATGGAACAAATAAAAGGAAAC